ATCCCTTTGATCGGCAAGGGGACATAAACACAAGCATTTTGGGTGCCTTCCGGATGGCCATTCTTTTTTTCTTTTTCTTTTTCTTTTTTTTTTTTTTTCCTTAGCACAAAGGGGCTGTTGTCCTGAGGAGGTCACATATTACTATCCAAATTTCCCCGTTTCTCTCTCAGGAGGCCACACCTTAACTAACACCAATAAAATTAATAGTATCCACTCTTCCTCCTATTCACTCTTAGGAGGTCACTGCTTCAGTAGATGCTTTCTGTTCCCTGAGAACCCTGTTCATGTATAAAACAGGGAAGCGGTCCTCTCAGGGAGGCAGCATGTAAATTCCAAACACAACAGGAACCTGCTCCCTTATGTTCCTGAGAGGTCCCACTTAACACAGTGAGCCAATATTCCACTCTTGTCTCCAGGGATCCTGTCTGTGACACCAATTTAATGTCCTGATCCAGTGTGGGAGGAGGTTTCGATACGATCCCAAGAGATTAAGACACAAACAAGGTCAAATGCTGTATACCCAAACCAGGTTTTTATTATTAAAAAAAAGTGAAGAGGGGTAGCGATAGGACACAATGGAAGGAAAAGACAAAAAAGAAAGCAAGGTTGCGGCATAGGGCTGCAAGAATAGTCACCACCATGGGTCCAGCAGCGTCTCGTTGGTCCTCAGTCTTCATTTGTTTGGTGGTGGGTGCACATGGATCTGGCTTCGATGGTGGATGTACACCAAGCAGAGTTTTCTGTTGCCTTTTTAAATTCATCATATCTGCTGATCAGCATATCTGCTCACCTTTAGTTTTTTTTTCCTGTGGTCCCACAGGTTTTGTTGCATCTGACTTTTGGGCATGAAGTTTGCCTCTTGTCAGTTTATTACCAATTCATCATGGGGTCTGGCCTACACAATAGGGCCACAAATGGCTACACCATGGGGCCAGCTCAGCACACCTCCGCCCCTTTGAAGTTTGTATAAATTGTCCAACAATACAACTGCAAAGAAGTGAGGTGGTGCATCTTTCAATACACTCCCGCTTCCCTGGACGACATTCCCCAAGCCAATCCACAGGCCGCAGCAGCTTCTCCTGGAGGTTTGCAGAGACACAAGCAAGCCTTGAGACAGTCATAGGACGTTTCAGTCTCTCAAAGGATTGCACCACAAAATTCTGTTTCCACTGAATTCACTAAAGATAGTTGTTTTCAGTGTGTCTCGTTTGGATCAAACCCAGAAGTCAAAGGCTCTTATATTCTTATAATTTTGAAAATAATAATTGAGTTTGAAATAGCTGAATTAACATAATTGCTAGGCAAAACTTTGTCAAAATAAAATTGTAGGTGTTCAAGGAACATGGGTTTTTAACAGTTTAGAGAATAGTCTCATTACAGAAATTCATCTTAGACTGGAATATCCATACTTTTTAGACTTGAATTAGGGAAGCATTTGAACATACTTTTTTTAAAACTTTAAAAAAAAAAAAGATATTTTCTTCAAATGTCAGTGGCTGTATTCAAATTATGGGAATCTTGCAACATTTCACAATCCTGGATAAAAATCACATGTTTCAGGTGCAGACTTCCTCCCTTTTTTTCATTACTGTTGCTCAGCATTTGTTCCTAGTCTGTGTCAACCATCACCACCATGCCACTGCAACTGGGTTTGCAACTTGCAAATTCTTTGACCAGCATTAATGAACTAAAGCATTGTTCCACCTCTGTGGTAAAAACAAAGGAGTATCAGAAGAGAAAAATAGCAAAATTATCTACTTTATCTGTAGTGCTGTAAACAAGAATTCCTTAGTGACAGCATAGGAGACAAACCCAGTATTTCAACATAGTTTCCCAACATCAATTGCAAATGGATTGCTTACTGTTTTTATTCAATACATATAATGAACCCCAAAATGTATGTTTCTAAAACCAGAAAATACTGTCTAATAAACAACAAAATTTTAGAATTATTGCTAGTCACAGGTTTTTGCTCATAAAGAAAACTTTTGAATGGCTGCAAACCTGGCACTGGTGAGACCATACCTGGAGTGCTGGCATTCAGTTATGGGCTCACCTTTACAAGAAGGACATGTACATACAAGAGCAAATAGAGCAAAAGGATACAAAGATGATGAAGGAAATGGAGCATCTATCATATAAGGAGAGGCTGACAGAGCTGGGACTGTTCAGCCTAGAGAATAGTAGGGTTGAGGATCCTATCCAAGTGTGCAAATACCTGGTGGGAGAATTAAAGAAGATGGAGCCACACAATTCTCAGTGATACAGAGTGACAGGATGAAAGACAATGGATACCAACTGAAATACAGGAAATTTCTTAACATGGAATTTCTCTTCACTTAAGGAAAGGTATTTTCACTGTGAGGTTTGTCGAATGCTGACCTAATTGCCCAGCAAAGTGGTGAGGTGTTCATCAGTGGAGATATTCAAACTCAACTGGACATGTCCCTCAGCAACCTTCTGTGGCTAACCATGCTTGGTGCTGGAGCTCTGAGCTGTGAAACAACTGGAATGTGAAATTGAACACTTTTGTGTGAATAGGCTTTTCAGTACAGATAGGCATGATTTTGTCCATTTGTGTGAAGAAGAAAATATACTGTGCAACTGTATGGGAAAAGTACATGGTTTACAAGCTGGATGTAGATAGAGCCCACATTATATATGTTATTTACAACTGGTGTATGGGAATGTTGAATTATTGTCATATCTTGATGTATGACTTTTCATCATATGACTAAGAAAAGTAAGGTTACATTTTTGCAATTTTGTCATGGGTGTAATCATCCTCCAGAAGAAAAAATGGTGAGAATTATTTTTGCAGAAAAAAAGAGAATGTCTGAAATGGTTATGTAATATGAAAATAAAAGGTAGGAACTCTGGTAGAAATAATCAAAAACTATTTAGTACAGGTTTCCCAAACATTGTTGCATAGACTTAAGACACTGTGGTGATACATGAAGAATGGGATTGTTATTTGTCTAGTTATTTGCATGAGAGCTTTAATTTTCCATATGAGCAATTCCATTAGCTATCCTAGAGAAGCTGTGAGATTTTTTTCTTGTGCAAGGTGCAAAGGGAGAAATTCGTGCTGGGCTTTTGTTCTTGGAAAATTAATGTTTGGCTTGACATTGTTGATAGATTGTTTGTTTTCAGGAAATTTGCTGTCTTCCATGATGCATTTTAAAAGTTTGGTTCAAGACATTCAACCAAGACTCCTTTTTGCACTTTAGCAAAAAAGAGATAAAGGAAGAAGTATGATAATGACAATAACCATCACTGAGGAGAGAGCATTAAAAATATAGTCTTACATAATTTATAGTTAGAGCTATGATAGTAATTTAGCAATTCCTGTCGCATTAGAAGTCAATTATTCCACTGTTGGAAAGTTGGCATGAGCCATCCTTTCCCCTTGCCTCATTCCCTCCACCTCACCTGGAAATACTGGGGTGGGAAGTACAGTAATGCCAGCTACTACCCCAAATATACAGTGAAGTTGAAAGGATATATCTTTCTGTGTCTGTCACATCATCCTTTGACAGACAAACACACAGCACCTGAAGGATGACAGACAAACACACGGCACCTGTCCCCTTGGCACAGCACCTGAAGGATGACAGAGACAGTATTGTCATGCAGAAAAGTGTGTTTCTGTGAAAATCCAGATTTTCACTTCTTTTCCCATGTGTTGAATCAAATTCATGGGTTAAGGTACATGTGATTAAAAGCAGTTTATTAAGCCTGGATTTGGCTAACATGATACTGTAACAAGGTAATATCCCAGTAAATATCACTGTGGTACATTTTTACTTCCACAGTTTGAGTTCTTTGTCATGATGATTGTTGGCCTCTGTTGGAAGTGAACTCAAAAATACAATATTTTTGAAAATTATTCTGTTTAAATCTGAGACTATGAAAACAGTAATAGTATTTCAGCAACCTGAGATAATACCAGGTCCTGCAGGACCTTGTCACTGATTCGTCATACCTGAGTCCTTGCCTTTATCTTTTCTCTGCCCAGTCTAGACCTCTTAGATGTGACCTCAGGTAACATGGTCACCTGAGTTGGTCCTTTCACACCTGGGAGAATATAATTGAATTAGCACTAATTTACATGATGTCTTGTGATGTAGTCCGTATAAGGTATAGATACCTTTGTTAGGGTGAGTATTTGGTAAAGATAGCTTTGAAAGAATTGCTGATCACAGACCTGACAGAATCCTTTTCTGGTCCTTTGTGTATTTCTTCATGTGGACAGCTGTTGTTATGGATGTGTGGTCAGTGTGCTCTGCAGATGAGTCATTTAGGTCATACGTAGCCATATGGGGCAAAAGAAACCATGACAAAGATACGTTGCAACTAATGTAAACTGTACTGCTCTGACATGCTCAACAAGTGAGGCACAAAATTTGGCCAATACACAGGGAAATTTTGCTTCATATCTTCTGGGGAAAAAAAATAAAATTCCAACTTAATTCTTTGTAAGCATCTGGATTCTTTCAGTGTTTCTCCATCAGCTAAGTGAAGAACTACTCATTGGCATTCTCACCATTCATAGTTTGGTCCATCAGGGTATGACTCAGTCAGCAAATTTAGCATTTAGAAAAAGTGTGCTGTGGTTAACAAAACATGAGTTACTTGAATATGTAAAAGAGAAAGTATTACACATATGCAATTGCACTTTAGTGATCTTTATTTTCAATGTGTGATGGAAATTAATTTGGGGGGAATTGTATCACAGTTGCTGATAACTAGCTGATGTATGAATACGTTGACTTGCCAATACAGCATCAAGCTGTAAAGAGAGTGTTCCTTTGGTCAATATTTCATTTTCATAAAGGCTAACAGTATCTTCTCTTCGCCCATTAGCAGGATTTCAAAACTTCAAACACAAACATTAATAAATCTCCTCCAATTGTGAAATTGTAGAAAGCATTTTAATGGTAATTTCAGTGTAGTGGCTTCACTCACTGATTTGAGAATCCACCCTTCTTTGTAAACAGAGCAGAGATTGCCTAAGACTGGGGCCACCTGAAAAGGGAGAGGTTGTCCGGGTGAAATGGTCTGATGGAAAATTGTATGGTGCAAAGTATATGGGAACAAACACAGTGCACATGTATCAGGTGAGTGTCTCTATTTATTACCATGTACTCAGCTTTTCAGATGTCTTTAGTGCAAATTGCTCATTTAGCTCTAGCACGGGAGTGGCCAGCTGTGCCTTCAAAGCTACAGAAGCCTGGAGTGTGGATTCTTATTGTAACTGCTAATGCATTTAAACTGATAAATAAAGCCATCTAAACCATTAACAAGTGCTGTGCACTCTTTGGGAGTTGAGGTTTTACCTGTTCTTACAAAATCAAGAGAATGGGTTATTTGATAAGAACTCAGGTGAGCAGGTAGAATATTAAGATTGAAACCCAGCATTTGTTATTTTCTCCTGGTTATTTACTTCTATTTGTTGTCAGGTAATTATACAATTAATAATATAAAATTAAGTATTGTTGTGTGACTACAATGGACCATAGATATTTCATAGAAGGGTGGAAGGGAGGACAGTAAAAAGAAGATCATAAATAGCCCCACTTCCATTTGACTGAGGCACTTTTGAATTAATTACACATAATCTAAGGAGCATTTTATCCTTAGCAAAGGCAAAAGGGAACTGAACACTGAAAGCAAAGCTAAAAAGCTGACTTCTGATTTCAGAGACACAATAATTGGTTTTTTATGTGTTTGCCTTTGAGAAAAATCAGTCAGCAGCTTTGAGTACCCAGGTGAATGTAGAAACTGCAATAAAACAATCACAATAATAATAGCACTTCTGAAAGAATGAGAATCTAGGTACATTTCATTTATATATATATATATATATATATATAATCATTTTCACTTATGTAACTTTTCATTGCAGGGCCTCACATTGTGCTACAAAAATGGCAAATTTACTATTATATCTATAGATGAATTAAGGCACAGGAAGGCTAAATAACTTGCTGCATTGACCTTCTCACTTTGCCAGTGACTTGCAGTTGAACTCAAGTCCTCAAATGCCTCATCCCTTGAGCTAGTCTCTAAATCTCATGTCTTCCGTTATATTTAGAAGCTGTATTATGTTGTGAAGGTGAAAAGTTCTTCATAAAATATAAAGATTATTGTTCTATAGTGACATTAATCTTCAAATCATTTAATCATCTGAACAGCTGGTCTTCTGAGGAATACTGTGAGATAGATTAGATGAATGTTGTTATCTTTCATATTTGAAGGAATCTGACATAGTCAAAACAAACTTTGTCTTATTTCAGACTTCTTGGACAACATGATGAAACCAGTTTAGTTTAAGGGGAATGGATTGGCATGCGGAGGTTCAGTAAGGTTTGGAGTTCCTCAGCACAACAATCATGGGAGGTTGTAACAACCCCTCTCATGGGGGAAATAACAAAGATTAAAGATTAAAGGGAGTCCAGATTGCACTGCATAGGATTTTGGAGACAAACAAGTATTTCAATCTGTAGGATGAGAGAGGAGGCTTCTACAACATGGGCACAGGTTACAGAAAGTCTGTGACATAGAGGGTGCAAGGCTAACTTCAAGACACATTAGTAGTTCTTCCTCTGGTCTTTCTATGCAGCCTCTCTGAAAGCTCCCAGGACCCGTGCATGCACATACTCCATTCTTCTTCTGAGTTGTGAGATCTATGCTGCACCTTTGAGATTCAAGTCTTCTGTATGACCTTTTAGATGGTACAACAAAAGGAGAGACTGAAAAGGACTCTCTGAAATGAGTATTATGATTTAATAAGGCAAGTCTCTTCTGCCTGGATAAATCTGTGTATTTCCCTCATATTCATGAGATATTTGTACCGATTGTGACCATAGTTGTGCATGCAGGACACAGTGCACCAGAATTTATCATCCAGCTTGACATTTGCCACCCAGTATCATACACAATCCCTAAACAGGCTTATACATGCTACATGAAGCAGGTGTTCAACTGAAATTGTTACTGTGATCCACATTTCTTGATAATTTTTGATATTGACATTCACTATTTATTTTTGAGTTGCATTTGAGATTAAATTATTCAGTCACTCTATTAATTGCTTTCTAACAATTTCAGCTGAGCCTTTAATTTATAATTAATTTATTCCTGATAAAATCTCATGGAGAGAATAACATATTACACAGAGAGAGTACGGCAGCAGAAGTCCAAATAAAATAACTTCCTGGATAAAATTGATGATTTGAAATTGCAGTCTGAATTAAATTGGAGCTATTAGAGATGGTGGGTTTATATTTTGCATGAATCATAATACTATTGAAAGTCTTAGAGGAGCTCTTGTGTTTGCCTTTAACGGCAGGCAGATTTATTTCCTGTGTGGTATGCTGAGTTATAGCTGAAGAACTTCCAGTTACTCTTCACTGTAAATGTTCTATATATTTCATACAGCAAGCATGTCAGATTCTGTGGTATGAAGCAGTTGCCTCCTGCTGCACACTGGCAGTAAAAACAAAAATATTGCCCATTCAGGAGGTGATTTTCTGATCACACGGAGCTGGCAGAGTTCATTTCCTGCCCAGTTCTTTCACAGTATTGAAAAAAACATAACAATGTATTATCCAAATCACCAGTGTATTATTCCAAAACATTTTACCAATTGTATTGTGCAGTGAGGAGCAGGAATAGTAGTGTGCTGGGTTGGGGTGGGGAAGATTTGGTAGCAGGGGAGGGGTTTACAGCAGTGGCCCCCTGGGAGAAGCCTCTTGAAGTTCCCCTGGCTCCCAGTTGGACGCACCTTTGCACTAAGGCTGAGCCAGTCAGTGATGGTGGCTACGCCTCTGAGGTAACATATTTAAGAAGGGGAAACTGGGAGGAGGAATTGGAGTTGTGAGGAGGAGTTATGAGAAAGACATGTAGGCAAACACTGGGGACAGTGAAAGAAAGGAGGAGGAAGCTGGGGGGACGTGTATTGGTGCAGAGACCCCTGCAGCCTGTGGTGAGAGGGCAGCACCACACCCCGCTGCCATCCGCAGATGCCCACTTGTAGCCCATGGAGAACCCCATGACAGAGCAGATGGCTGCAGCTGGAGAAGGCTGCGACGCTGTGGGAAAAAGACCCTGTTGTGGTTCAGTGCTGAGAGGACTGCAACACACAGGAGAGCAGCATGGAAAGGGCTGCAGCCCATGGGAAGCAGTCAGGTCAGAGACAGATTGTGGAGGACTGTCTCCTGTCAGAAGGACCCTGCACTGGGAGCAAGGGAAGAATATGAGTAGTCCTCCCACAGAGGAGAAAGTAGTGGTGGGACTGATTGCAACTCCCGTTCCCTGCCCCGTCTGGGGAGAAGGAGATACAGAAATTAGGATCAGAGCTGAGCCCAGGAAGAAGGGGGGCGTGGGGGAAGGTGTTTTTAAGATGTGGTAATGCTTCTCATTGTCCTACTCTGTCAAGTGTTGTTGTTGTTAGTGTCTGATTTAAATATATGTTCTTTTTCCTTTCCCTAACAAGCCTGTCTTTTGCCCTTGACCATAATGGATGAGTCATCGCTCCCTGTCTTTGTCTTCATTCCTGAGCATTTTGCTTTAATTTCTCCTTCCCATTCCTGAGGAGGAAGGGGTGAGTGAGCAGCTGCATGGTGCTTAGTTGCCCTCTGAGCTCAAATCATGACAAGCAGAAAGGTTGCACCTGCATCCTTGTGAGAAACACCTAAATTGCCATAACTTTATTAAACAAGTTTAAGCCAAATTGACCTTTTAAGTTCCTCTAACATACTAGTAACGAACTAGGTTTGTGGGGTTAGTAGCAAGAATAGAGAGGAGCAAGGATGACATTTATGACTTTTTTATCCATCAGTGCTCCGGAAATGCATTCCACATTTGTGCATCCCTGTTAATTGATGTAAAAAAAAAAAAAAAAATTAAAAAAATTGCTTTTAAAGAAGTTAATAGTTCATAGGTCTGTACCCTGGCAGTTTTTTTCTGCTGTTCACAGTTGGATCTGACATCCTCAGTCATGGTAAGGTTTTAATTTGAATGTACAAACCCCAGTCCATTTACAAGTGTGGAATGGGACTTCTTTTCATTTTATACCAAACTTTAAAGTACAGTTTCTCTGGGAACTAAAACTGCAGTCATGGGTAATAGTAGAAATTCAGAATTGTTGGATGAACTATTAAAAAAAAATATCAGCACCTACTGTATAAGCTTAAATGCTTCAAAGCCTCATCATTTTAACATTCCCCACATCTAGTTACATTTCCTTTCTCATTTTCTGCTAACAGGGTTCATGTTGGATTAAATCTAAACCTAAGCATGATAAAGCTTTTCATCTTCTGAACAGAGCATTTTAAAGAAATTCAATCAGATTCTATAAAATTCTGTTAACTGGTATTTCCTTAGTTGTCACTCATGCTTTTTTTTTTGACATGGTCTTCTTCAACCTTGAATCACAGGATGTAAAAATTATTTTTTTATTTATTATAAGCAAGTAAAAAAATTAGAGGCAAATAAAAATGACATGAAGACATTTTAATATGTCACCCCTACAAAATAATGTCTGCAAAATGTCTGTGCTGTTACTGCTTGGCATTCCTAATCTAATAAAGTTTAATTTATTGTATATGTGTCAGTGTTGATTTTGAAGTCTCTTTGCTTGATTTTCAATTTATGAATGTGTTGCATTTCCTAAGAAATTGTATTTTTCATGTTTTATCCTAATTTTCCTAATATCCTATTCCCAAAAATAAAAGAGCAAAATATTTGTATATCAGTCTTCTATATTTGCACATATAATTTTGACTGGAGACATTCCCATAAACTTCCTGCAAGAGTTAAATTATGATATTTTTTTTTTAAATACCTGGTTTTGTTCAATTAGGTTGAGTTTGACGATGGTTCTGAAATAATGATGAAGAAAGAAGAGATCTATATGCTAGATGAAGAGCTTCCTGAGAAAATAAAAGCACGTTTAGTGAGTATTTTCTGATGATAGTATATATATATATATATGTTCAAATTGCCAATAACAATATCCTTTAATGTATTCTGGATTTTCAGTTTAAATTGGACAAATATTTTGTGAAGCCTGTACTAATATGACCAGCTAAATCAGCACAATTAGCTCAAATGTCCATTTGCTAGTGAGAATGGTTAGTTCTTCCAGTACAGGCAAATGCTGTTATCAAACATAATTATTTTATCCTAAAAGGGACATTTTGGTTGATAGCCTGTCAGAAAATGAAATATCAAGTCAGTAAATATTTAAATTGTCAGACATTCTGTTCTTTCGGTATGCTTACAACATGTGTATACTTTTTAAAAATCTTTTCAAGTTCTCAGAGCTTTATGATTTTAAAAGAATTAAATTTAATAAAAATGCAATTAACTTGTTCTAAGAAACAAAGTGCTTGATCAGAAGTCATTCAGGTCACTGGTAGGACTCATCAGCATTTCACTGGTCTTTGGTTTAGAACCAAATCTTTGCTATATTTTTAAAGTTTCCTACAGTTTCAAACAACATCCACTAGCTAGTCATTTTGTATGTATGCCATGTGTAAGTGTTGAGTTTCACAAAGAGCATGACACTTAAAAGTTGAAAAGGGACAGTTCTGCCATACAGTTGCTGGAGGAGACAAGATGACTGCTGTTACCTGTCTTTGTCATTAATGCTAAATTACTGTGCAGTTCAGTCCATTACCAAGACTATTCAGAAGAGTATCATGTTCTTAATTCCATGTTCTACTTTAGACCTTGTTCAAAATTGCATTGCAAGTTAAACATTAGCTTTCTTAACATGTAAAACCAGAGCATAAACAAAAATCTTGTCGTAATTGAGAACAAACAATAATTCACTATTGTGAATAAAAATTCCTTTTTACTTGAAGAATATTTTCAGTAAAGCTTTGAAAGGGAGAGCAGTGTACAGGATATTTTTCATTGCTGTAGGGAGGTGGGCTCCTACACAGTACCTGTTCACACATTCATTATGTGACATTAATTAGCTGATTCTTGGAAGCTGGGTGCAAGGAGTTGTTTAGAGGTCATTCTTCAGGCATATGTCAGCTTATATGAGTTTGGTGGACTAATGCAGCATTTACATGTCAAGGTAGCTGAAGAAGGTTTCAGTCCCAACTTTTCTATGCTTCTTGCCATATGCAGCTGCCATCTTTGCTATTATCATTTCCTTTCATCTAGTTCTTATCAGCAAACCCCAACATAGATGCTGTCTATTTCAGAAGCTAGGATTGTGTCAAAGGAAAGGATTGGCATCATGTGTGAAAGGGGTGGTAAAGCTGGGAAAGGAAGAGGGACGGAGAAATGTGAGGCTGTCAGCCTGCTGAGGAAGTTCACCAACAGGATGCCCTGTTTTACTGAATGAGTAGGGTAAGATTAGGAGAGTTTTTTCTAATAGGAGGTGCAGTGGTCAACTAATCTTGGCTAAGACACCTTTTTATCAGTGTATGTGGGATAAGTGTCCCTGACTGTCAAGGGTTAAGATAGACATCTTGGAAAATGTTAAATGAACCATCTGGTTATATTCAGTGGGCTTTTTCATTATACTCGGAAAGCATTCCATTACCATGTTTTGTTTTAGAGACTGTAAAAAGTGTTTATAATTAACTGCATGTTCTGTAGAAAGTAAGCTGTTTCACTAAGGAGAATAATACAAGTATAGTTGGATTTATGGTACACATTTTAAAATGTAATTTTTATAGATCAGCTTCAGAGGGGAGTTAAGTATAGGTCAAAACCATTGAATTGGTTCAATAAACCACAGCCTGTGGTCAGACCTTTACATGATTTTCTACTATTGCCTCAAATTCTATAAATAGATTGTGTAGTTCTCAAGGTGTACCCAACATCTCCTTCCCCTCCTCGTGCTGAAAATAGTGCAAGTTAAAGACAGTTTATCATAGTGTTTCTGTCTCTTGAAATAAACGCACAAATTCCTCATAAATCACACTTTTCCTAATTCTGGGGATTTTACCATGACTCCAGTAGTGGGAGTTGGTCCAAAAAGTTCTGCCACTGCTTTTTCCAAAATGGCTTGCTGGCAGCTATCCTGCTGGTTTGTTTCAGTTGATTCCCAACTGTTTTAAGTTTGCAGACAAATGACTGAATTTGTGACTCTGATTCTTTGCGAATTAGGCAGTATGCAGGTTTCTTTTTAGAGGTCCATACCATAGTACCTTGCATTTAATACTTTTCTTGACCAGCACAAAGTGGTGGATAATGCTTGATACTGCTAGGATCAAACCTGCCCAACAATTACATCACTTCCATGTTACTGTTTTTTACCTTGAATTAGAGTGTTTATGTGACCTCTGGATAAAATCAAAACTAGCAGCTGGTGTTAGTTACATGTTTCTAAGGAACACTACAGATCTAGGGAATTAAATGATGAGTAGTATAAGGAAAATCTGGAAAAGTAAATAAT